AAGCCGATAGGAGAATTCAGCTGTCTCCCATTAAGCCAGACATTTGGAGAGTTACAAAAGTGAAAATAAATCATGCCATGCTTCTTACCAAATCATTTTTGCTTGGGGAAATCTAGTTCTTTTTCACTAAACAGTTACGTTTACATAAGAGAGAGCTTTTTAAAATTAACAAAGATTTTTAAAATAGTCTCAGTTTTAACTTCTAATGCAGTGAATAATGATAGCTGTGATCCACATAAACAAAAGTTCTTTGGGGTCCTCAGTACATTGATGAGTGTAAAGTAGTTCTGAGAGGGAATTCCCTGGGAGTCCAGTGGTTAAGACTGCCTGCTCCCAGTGCATAGGGTGTGATCCCCTGGTTGGGAATCTAAAATCTCACATGCCACGTGATGCGGCCAAAAAAATAATCAGTCCTGAGATTAAAGTACTTGCTAATTATCTTAACTAGATAATGTCTCCCTCACCTTCCCACTCTGGGTCTGTTCCTACTTCAGCAAAATGTATAAAGACAGTCTGCGGTGCAGTGTGGTGCTCAGTCGCTCAGTCGTGTCCGACTGTTTGTGACCCCATGGACTGCAGCATGCCAGCACATCAGGCCGCCAGGCCTCCCTGTCCGTCACCAACTCCCGGAGTTTACTCAAACTCAAGTCCATTGAGTCAGTGGTGCCATCCAACCATCTCATCCTCTGTCGTCCCCTTCTCCTCCTGCCTTCAATCTTTCCCAGCATCAGAGTCTTTTCAAATGAGTCAGTTCTTCACATCAGGTGGCCAAAATATTGGAATTTTAGCTTCAGCATCAGTCCTTCCAATGAATATTCAGGACTGATTTCCTTTAGGATGGACTGGTTGGATCTCCTTGCAGTCCAAGGGACTCTTAAGAGTCTTCTCAAACACTACAGTTCAAAAGCATCAATTCTTCAGTGCTCAGCTTTCTTCATAGTCCAACTCTCACATCCATACATGACTACTGGAAAAACCATAGCCTTGGCTAGACGACCTTTGTTGGCAAAGTAATGTCTCTGCTTTTTAATATGCTGTCTAGATTGGTCATAACTTTTCTTCCAAGGAACAAGCGTCTTTTAATTTCATGGCTGCAGTCACCAACTGCAGTGATTTTGGAGCCCCAAAAATAAAGTCTGTTACTGTTTCCATTGTTTCCCCATCTGTTTGCCATGAAGTGATGGGACCAGATGTCATGATCTTAATTTTCTGAATATTGAGTTTTAAGCCAACTTTTTTACTCTCCTCTTTCACTTTCATCAGGAGGCTCTTTAGTTCTTCTTCACTTTCTGCCATAAGAGTGGTGTCATCTGCATAGCTGAAGTTATTGATATTTCTCCTGGCAATCTTGATTCCAGCTTGTGCTTCATCCAGCCCAGTGTTTCTCATGATGTATTCTGCATATAAGTTAAATAAGCAGGGTGACAATCTACAGACTTGACGTACTCCTTTCCCAATTTGGAACCCATCTGTTGTTCCAAGTCTACTTCTAAACTGTTGCTTCCTGACCTGCATACAGATTTCTCAAGAGGAAGCTCAGGTGGTCTGGTATTCCCCTCTTTCAGAATTTTCTAGTTTGTTGTGATCCACACAGTCAAAGGCTTTGGCATAGTCAATACAGCAGAAGTAGATTTTTTTCTGGAGCTCTCTTGCTTTTTCGATGATCTAACAGATGCTAACAGATGTTTGCAATTTGATCTCTGGTTCCTCTGCCTTTTCTAAAAACAGCTTGAACATCTGTAAGTTCACGGTTCACGTACTGTTGAAGCCTGGCTTTGAGAATTTTGAGCATTACTTTACTAGCGTGTGAGATGAGTGCAATTGTGCAGTAATCTGTGTATTCTTTGGCATTGCCTTTCTTTGGGATTAGAATGAAAACTGACCTTTTCCAGTCCTGTGGCCACAGGAGTTTTCCAAATTTGCTGGCTTATTGAGTGCAGCACTTTCACAGCATCATCTTTTAGGATTTGAAATAGCTCAACTGGAATTCCATCACCTCCACTAGCTTTGTTCATAGTGATGCTTCCTAAGGCCCACTTGACTTTGCATTCCTGAACTGAACTGAACTGAACTGAAACCTGTCTCTCTCTTTCACACACACACACATATACAGAGGTTAGCAATTCCAAATTCTGGAATCTTTGTTTTGCAACTCCTCTGCAGTGCAACTTTGGACATGTAACTTACCTACTCTGGGCGTATGTTTCTTTACTTCTAAGAAGAGGGCAATGAGACCTATGACCTGGAATTGCTGAGAATTAAATAAGCTGAGGAGTGTAAAGTCACTCCTTGTTGAGACTCAGAAATTGTCAGGTGTCATATTATTTTTGCATCTCAACCTCTGAACAGCATTTCAAAACCTGCAGAGCACCTGAACTTTCATTTTATCATCTGAGATTCACAGCAGGAAAGGGTTACCATGTTCCCAGTGAGGTCATTGAAGGCCAAAGAGGCCAAGTGATCCAGCCAAGGTCACACAGGCAACTCAAAACCAGTTCTGTTAGCCAGGCTCTCAGATTCCAAGCCCAGGATCCCTCTAACTTCACACTGCCTCCCTGACTTCCATTTGCTTGACCCAGATTGCTCAGCTACCAAAAACCTGGAAAGTTTTGTAGGAATTAAGTCTGGGCCTTTGGTCTTCATGTGGCCAGGAGATGTAAGGACGGCTGCAAATACCCAGGAGGCAGGTGGAGGGACTCTTCCAGTTCACAGTCCATGAAGGAAAAGCAACTTCTTAAAGGACTCGAGTCAGGAAAGGCCTTCTGAGAATGCAAAACTGGAATATAGAAATTAAAAAACAGATGCATTTGACTACATAACAATGTTCATCTGTTGTAAGGCAAAAGCAAAGTTAATAGACAAACAATAAATTCGGAAAAAAATATTTGTGATGCAGAGGACAAGGGGTTACCATCTATAATATACAAAGGGCTCTCACAAAGTGAAGAGAAAAGGGCAAACAACCCAAAAGAAATTATGGCAAAGGACATGAATAGGCAATTCACAAAAGAATGAAGCCAAATGGCCACAAACAAATGAAAAGATGCTCACACTCATTAGTGGTCAGGGACATGCAAATTAAACTGACAATGAGATATCACAGAGGAAAATTTAAAAGAACAAGAAGGCAATTGCTGGCAGGGATTTAGGGGAAAGCTACATTCATATGTTGCTGAAGATGTAAATTATTACTGTCTTTTTTGAGAAATCTGGCAACACCAATTACAACTTCAGGAGTAACATGAAAACTTTGCATTTAAATATATACATATATTGATTTCCTTTAACTCAGCAATCCTAACCCTGGAAACCTACCTGATAGAAATTAAGCTATCATATCCTAAGGACAAAGGACAAAAGATATTTATTGAATTATTATTCATAATGGAAAAAAAAAACTCTCAAAGTTCTTCCCTGGTGGTCCAATGGTTAAGAATCTGCCTTCTAAATGCAGAGAAAATGGGTTCAGTCCCTGGTCAGGGAACTAAGATCCCACATGCCACGAAGCAATTAAGCCCACATGCCACAAACTACCGAGCCCACACACTCTGAAGCCCACATGCCACCACTAGAGAGAAGCCAGAGCCCTGCCACAAAAGACCCCACATGCCGCAACGTGGACCTGACACAGCCAAAGATAAACACGCATGCTTTCTAAGCTCTCAGAAGAGAGCATGGCAAGGTTTCCCGGGTGTCTCAGCAGTAAAGAATCTGCCTGCCAGTGCGGGAGACTGGTTCCATCCCTGATCCGGGAAGATCCAACATGCCTCAGAGCCACTAAGGCCATTGCATCACAATTATTGAGCCTGTGCTCTAGAGCCGAGGAGCCACAACTGCTGAAGTCTGCACACCCTAGAGCCCGTGTTCCACAATAAGAGAAGCGCCTGCAATGAGAAGCCTGTGTATGGCGACTAGACAGTGGCCCCCGGTCACTGTAACTAGAGCAAAGCCTGCACAGCAATGAAGACCCTACTCATCCAGAAATAAATATAAATCAATCAATAATTTTTTTTTAAAGCATGGCAGACGGACACCCAGGAAGTCCTGGCTTCCCAGCCTCCCTTGCAGCTTGGTTGGGACCACGTGACTGAGTTCTAGCTAGTAGACTGGGGGGAAGAAGTGGTGTGTGGCTGTAAAGCCCCCTGCACAATCCCCCTTCGCTCCCTTCCGCTCTGCAGTCACCACCCAGTGCCTGAGTCCCTGTTCAGGGACCACCATCTCAGGCCTGTGCACTGGGACAGCATCAAGAAGTAAACAAGTCACTGCAGTTTCCCAGCTTCCTTGTGGCCATGACAGCGCTCACTTTCACGAATACACAACCTCAGTGTCCCTCAGAGGAAAACGACTGGCTGAATGATGGCACAGCACAGCCTGCACAAGGAATGAATTAGGGTTAGACCAAGGGACTCGCATACCACCAAAGGAAAAGAGCAAAATGCAGAGGAGCCCCTGTAATATCTCATTTTGGTCATATAAACAATGATGGAGAAGACCCTCCAATGGTACATGTGCACATGTCTATGCATGTGTATGATATGCACATATGTCGTTGTATGAGAATGGACAGAGACCTGGGAGGAAACTTCTAGCTTGTAAGCACAAGTTGGAAGGGAGGAGGAAAAAAGGAAGTGAAGAAGGCCAACTGATGGAAAAATGTATCACCATAGTTTTCAAGACTTCCCAGGTGGTCCTGTGGTTAAGACTCTGCACTCCCAATGCAAGGGGCCCAATGTTCAATCCCTGGTCAGGGAACTAGATCCCACATGCTGCAACAAAAGTCACACACACAGCAACAAAGATCTTGCATGCAGCAACTAAGACCAGGTGCAGCCAAATGGGGCGGGGGCGGGGGGAGAAAAATATCGTTTCCAAGAGTACTTTGCATTTATGAATGTGCTGAAGTAAATATAAGAATGTTTTCATATGAGAGAATAAAACTTATTTTCTATAACGCAAGGAAAAAACGCATGCACATAACTAGAGGATGCCGGAAAGAGGGGATGTCGGATGCACCAAGAAGAGATGCAGAAAGTCTAGTCCTTGCCTTGAATCTGATCACACCTTTCTGTCTGGCTGAGTCTAGTCAGGACGTCTCCCTGATTGCGATGTGGCTAAAAACAAGGGGAAAGAAAGGTAACCAGAATCTGAGAACGATCCTGGCCTGGGAGCTTCAGCCAGAGAGTGGGGTCTGCCTCCCAGGCTTATGAGGAAATGGGGAAGCCTTCAGTCAGCAGCCCAACAGCTAAGCCAGCATACTGGGGAGAATCTGCCAAGACAGGAAGGACCCTTAGAAGTCGCCAGGGTCAAAAGTCACACACTGGGTGCTCAGAAGTCAAATCCAATCTTTGTCAGAGTTTGTTTGGCTTACACAGTGATGTCTGAAAAATTCAAATTGGTAAATACAGTGTCACATACGAAAATGTTCTGCACAATGCTGGATTAGATACTAGACTGAAAAAAAAATAGAACTTGAAAGTGGACTGTGGATTAGATCATAGTATGATATCAACATTAACGTTTCAAATTTTTAAAATTATTCTGTGGTTATGTAGGAGAAAATTCTCATTTTTAGGAAATATACACTGAAGCGTTTGGAGTAAAGGGAGAGTTTATTCTCAAACAGCTCAGAAAAAAATGTACACATATTTGAATACATGTGTGTGAGAGAGAGGGAGAGAGAGACAGAGAGGGAGAAAGGAGTAAGGAAGCTAGGTGAAAGTTACATGGGAAGTTCCCTGTAATACGCTTGCAACTTTTTTCTCTAAGTTTGAAATTATGTCAAAATAAAAGGTAACAAAATAAAAAAGCCAAACTGGCTGCCAACGTATTCAAATTGGCAGATTTCATACAAACACCCACACTCCAAATTTACTCTCTACAGTTTATAGTGAAAAAAACAAAAATCAGATTATCTGGCCATACCACTCCCACATTTCTGAATAGCTGCAATTGGGTGGAGCTGAGGCATAGTCACCCCTCTTTAGACAGGACATGCACTCTTCAAGTTTGTTATGGTCTGCAGGCCTGGCATGCTGCAGTCCACAGGGTTGCCAGGAGTCAGGCATGACATTGCAACTTAATAACAACCGTGGCTCCTTACTGCTGCACCAGGTCCTTCACCCAATGACTGGCCCCAAAGTTGTGGGTTTGACCCCACCCCTTCATTGGCCCCTTGCCCACACACTCTGACAAAGTGAAAATCACACCCTGTGGGCTTCGGTAGAAGACAGGATTTGGCTTTACCCCTCAGGACTGCCATCCTTTCACATTGCACCAACTCGGCTAAATTAGAACCACGCTGTCCCTGAACTTCCTCATGGGTCTGAGGTAGTGCTGGCCAACAGACCTTACGTGTGTGATCTGGAAGGTGGGGGTGAAGCATCAGCCATGCCCTTAGGCTCCGAAGGTCACAGAGGGCCCCGGGCCCCGTGGCAGCTTGCTCAGACTGCCAGCAGTCTGCCGGTCTTCTGCAAGCACAGGGGCAGCCCCAGGCTTCTCCAGCTCCTCTCAGATCTCCCTCTGCGTCTTTCGGTCCAGGCCAGGTGTGTGGCAGCTCCGTGGTGATGCACCCCAGCTTCTCCCACACGTCACCCTCGGCACCCAGGCTGGAGAAGGTGAGAGACAGACACGCTTCCAATTTGTCCTTGCTCTCACCCAAATCCAGCTTTCCTTTCCAGGCATCATTCAGACTGACTTTAGGCTCAACCCCAGATGCAGAGGCAACAGCCTGAACAATCTCATAAGGTCGAACGTCTATAGTAAATCCATTTTTGTATTACTTGTAGAGGTTCTACTTTCCTAATCAAACCCTGACACATCTGTGTGATCTTGAACAAGTTACTTAACCTCTCTGAGTCTCACTTCTGTTGCCTTAGAACGCTAATGATAACAATATAATGAACACCCATGATAACACTATAATCCCACACGATTATGGTAAGGACAAGATGGGAATTGTACGTACGACTTTAGCAAATGCTCCATAAGTGCCTTGTGTTATAAAACTGCAGTGTTTTTAAATGGGAGCTGTGCCTGTATCTATGTAACATCAGGAAAGAAATAAACTAACTGAAGATACCTAGTTTGATCCGTCATCATTTAAATTAACAGTTCTTCCAACCCTGCAATATTTTAAACTCTCCCCAGATATATGTGTCTGCCTATAAAATGGGAAATTTAAACATTCTAAAATAGTTCTTTCATTTAAATTTAGTACAGACAGCCTCTGTTAGATTGCACCCCAGGAACCAAGTGATGAGATAAAGAGTCACGTGTGGCGGATCACTGGGAGTCCTCTCGGGGGGCCCCACCCTGAGGGTAAGGGCATCTGGGTTGGGCAGAGTGAGGAGTGGGCTGCCATCCATCTGAACAGAGGCCTCTGGCAACCCCACAGAAGGCTTCCCGAAGGGCCTTCAGAGTTGTCCCAAACTGAGACAGGGTCTAGCCTTTGTACGGCACTCAAACCACTCATTGAACAAGGCCCACATTCATTTGGAGAGGCAGCATAAACATGGGCAGGGGTGCTCCCTCCTGCCAGGGGGAGGGACTCACTTGAGCCATTAGCCACCAGCACCCCACAGCTAAGGCAATGAGCCCCCACCCCCCAGGGCCACCTGGATTGCACACCACAGTGTCCACTACACCACCCTGTTTTTTTTTCATCTGTTGTTCAGTCACTCAGTCGTGTCAGACTCTGCAGCCTCGTGGATTATAGCTTGCCAAGCTCCTCTGTCTATGGGAGATTATCCCAGTAAGAATATTGGGATAGGTTGCCATTTCCTCCTCCAGGGCATCTTCGCCACCCAAGGATCAAACCTATGTCTTGTGCACTGGCAGGAAGATTCTTTATGCTTGAGCCATCTGGACATGGCCAAAGAAGCTGGTGGCCACTCTTGTCACTGGCAATCACTTTACAACTATCTGGCTTTGAGAGTGGTGGGGCAGAAAGACAGAATGATATCACTGAGCTGCTGATTACCATGGCCAAAACCCACCTTACCTCTAAACTCCCCAGATGGGTGCAATAATAAAGCTCTCGAGTCTTTAAGCCACTTGGATGTGGGGTGTCTGTGCTGTGCAGTCAGAAGCATTCTAAGTTATCTAAAGGTGATGCTCTTGTTAGTGTGACCACCACACATACACATACATACACCCTGTGCAATGTGCACACTCAAGGATATGCACACAACTGCAAGATCAATTTTAAAAAACCCAACAGCTTCCCTACCCCCGGCAAAATTAATTTGAAGGAAAATGGTGCAGCCACTGTGAAAAACAACAGGACAGTTTCTCAAAAAATTAGATACAGAATTACCATATAATCCCCCAATTCCACACCTGGGCATATACCCAAAAGAATTGAAAGCAGGGACTCAAACAGATATTTGTACACCAGTGTTTACAGCAGCATAATTCACAATAGCCAAAAGGTAAAAACAACCCAAGTATCCACAGATGGATGAATGGATGAACAAAACGTGGTATGTATACCCAACAGAATTAGACTTAGATAGGAATGAGATTCTGACACATGCTATATCATGGGTGAAAAGATTTAAATCATTATGCTAAGTGAAATAAGCCAGTTTTAGGACAAATATTGTCTGATTCCACTTTTGTGAAGTACATATAATAGGTACATTCATAGAAACAGTAAATAAAATGGTAGTTTCCAGGGGGGTAGGAAAGGAGAGGGGATAGTGTTTAAAGGGAACGGAGTTTCAGTTGTGGAAGATTAAAACATTCTGGAGATGGATGATTGTGATAGTTACACAGCAATGTGGATATAGTTAATACCACTAAGCCATTATACTTTAAAAAGGCTTAGATGAAATTTTTATTTTATGTATATTTTACCACAATTAAAAAAAAATTGAAAACATAAAAGAAAAAAATCTCCTTCATATAACAGCAGTACACAAGGTGCCTCAGAACAAACCCAGTCAGAACTTCACAGGCCTCTGGAGAAACCCGTAAGCCTTCACTGAGGGAATGAAGAGGCCAAAGTGGAGAGATATACCATGTTCATGGAGGGAGAGAATCAACGTTGTAAAGAGGGCACATCTCCCCAAATTAATCCATAACATAATGCAATTCCAAACAAGACCCCAACAGCACTTTTCATTGAACTTGATCAGCTGATTCTAAAAATCCTATGGAAGAATGACTATAAGAATAGCATACATTCAGAAAAGTGCACAAATTAGGAATGAAGAGCACAATGAAGTTTTACAAAGTGAATCACCATTTCACCAACACTTGGATCAACAAACAGGCTATTGTCCCAGAAGACCTCTTTGTACCCTTGCTGTAGTCACTACCAACTCTAAGTTCTCTATCTTGACGAACTTTGCCTGGTTTTGAACTCCCTACACTTGGAATCATACCATATGTGCTTTTTTGTATCTGGTTTCTTTCACTCAACACGATTGTGCAATTCATCCATGTTGTTGCTCCAGTTGTCAATCATTTATCTTCATTTCTGTAATACCCCAATGTACAACTATCTCACTACCTATTTATCTATTCTACTGTTCACAGGCATTTGGATAGTTTCCAGCTTGGAGAGACTGCAAATAGCATTCTAGTACTTGTCTTTTGATCCACATTTATGCACAAACTTGCTGGGCATAATCCTAAGAGTGGAATCACTGAGTCATCAAGAAAAAGTTTTTAAAGAACAGAGGATGTTTGTGGGTGTAGTGGGAAAGAGACATTCTTACCCTACTGGACATCACAATAAATTATAAAGCTGCAGTAATTAAAAGGCACACATAGTAACACATCTCCAGCTCTACACACACACACACACACACACACACACACACACGAACACTGTATGCATGTACATACTCAGGGATGTACACACACTGCAAGATCAATTTTTAAGAGCCCAACAGCTTTCCTACCCCGCAGCAAAATTAACTTGAAGGAGCATGCACACAGTACTTATGCCCAAATCCACATCCACATCCACACACAGGCATGCTCTCCCACCCCACATACTCCACCAGTCAGCACAGACAACTCATGGCCGGACTTCCCAGACCAGATAACTGAGTGTCGCAGTCCCTTTCAAGTGGTATCAGAGCACAGGCCTGCAAGTATCCAGGAGACGGCTGATGGAGAAGAGGAAGAAGAGAGAGAGCCCCCCTGCCACCCGCCCACTGGCTTTAAAGAGAGAACAAAGTGAGCGGGATCAGAGGGTGCAAGGTGATGGCAGCGACGCTGAAGCCATTTATCACTGCCAGGTGTGTGAAGGGTCAGGCTGCAGGGCACGCTGGAAGTGCCAGCAGGGGTGCCTGGACCCCCAGACACAGAGAGAAATAACCTGTCCGTGGGCAAGGGACCAAGGAAGGGCTGCCAGGACCCTCTTCTTAACAAAATGACAATGTGCTTTCTCTTTTATCCAGGCCGGAGGGGGTGGGGGTGCGGGCAGGATAGAGGCAGCGACAGCTTAATAAAGAGCTGTCAGTCAAAGCTCTAAAAATACCCTCCCGCTGCCAGCAGGCTCACTCCTGTGCCGCCCAGGCTTCCTGCCGCCTGAATGGTCCCTTGGTGAGACACAAGGACAAATGTCTACCCAGAGAGGCCTGGCGTCAGGCGACATACACGATCCCTCTGTAGCTGCAGTCTGTCTTTTCTCCCCTACCATGGCCCTCCAGGACCCTCAGACAGGCACACCCAGGCCAGGAAGCAGATCATGAGGGTCCCGGGGTCAAGGCGTTCTTCCACCCCAGGCTTCTCCATCCTCTGGAAAGGCATAAATATCAGACACCTCTCCTCACAGGTGGCTCCCAACCCCCAAAAGAGCCAGGTTTCACAGGGGCGGAGGGTCCCAGAGATTCCAGTTTCAGGCCGGCTCCTGGTTTGGAACCAAAAACCATCTCAGCTTCCGCTAAGATCCCGGTTTAGTGGGGGAGGCCCGACAGTGTCATCGCAGAGATCCCAGCCTGTCCAGGTACGCACCACCACTGCCGAGTCACTTCTGGTCTGATGGCGGAGGCCCGGCTCTTACCTTGGGGAACTCCCCTTCTGATGAGGGAGGAACAACTTCCTAAAGACATGTTCCCACACAGGGACTGTTGTCCCTGTAATAACAGACGTTTAGCCAAAATGGCCATATGGTCCAGTGCCCCTCCAACTTTAATGCACGTCCAATTCACTGGGAACCTTTTCAAATACAGACTTCCTTCTGCATATTCTGGGGTGGGCCTGAGGCTCTGCATTTCTAACAAGATGCCCAGTGATGCCAGCGCTGCTGCTGCCTGAGAGCAAGATGAGATGCATGGAGGGTGTGGATAACTAAGTCTTACCGGCTGTTCTGACTGATAGAACTCTGAGCTGGGGCTACCTGGGAGGGCTCCAAGGAGCAAGTGGGGTGGAATCTGATGGGCAGAGGGAGAACTCTGGAGAACTGGCCCTAAGTCCAAATCTGGGCTTTGGCATTTACCAGCTGTGTGACTCCAAGCAAGTTTCTTGACCTCTCTGAAATTAGGACAACAGTGGCCATACACACCTCACACGATGGTGTGAGCAAGATGGAGCACCTGCACAGGCTTGGCACATACCTGGCGCATGGTAGGGGCTCAAGACACACCAGCCACTGCTTTTATAATAAACTGCAACCATTGTGTCTACACGTGGGAGGGGCAAGCCTCAGACGAACTGGTAGGGGGCTGCTCCTAAAGGCAGGGCTGCAGAGAGGCCCTGGTGGAGAACAAGCTGCCGCAGAGGTGTCAGGCAAGCCCTTGACCTTCCTGAGCATCCGCTTCCTCACCTGTAAAATGGGGATCATAGCCTGGCCTGTCTCTGCAGATGTAGTTAAAGATGGGGAAATCCCACACGCGCAGCAGCACTTGAGGACAAGGCCTGGCACACAGTAGGCGCTCAATAAAGCGCTCTCTGGGATGGGAGTGGGGGACAGCGGTGCCAGGACCCCCGCGGGCCTGGGGCCCGGCGGAGCGCAGGAAGCCAGTGCGCCCGCCCCAGCCCCCCACCCCCGCTTCCACCCCCACCCCGAGGCCGCCTTTGAGCCCTGCGCTGCGCTTTGAAGTCCCAGATGGGCCTGGAGGAAAGAAGATCCCCGCGCCCAGCCCCCAGCCCGCACCTGGATAAACACGCGCCGCCAGCCCCGCCGCCAGCGGCGGACCGACGGCCTGGCGGCAGGGACGGCCAGGCGGCCGGAGCGGCCCGGCAGCGGCTCACTTCAAAGCGGCAGCGGCCGCCAGCGGGAGGGGGCCCTAATCAGGCCCGGCTGCTGCCGCCTGGGCTCACAGCCCTGCCCGGCCGGCCCGCGCCGCCCCCGCCATCTGCTCCGCGTTAGAGCGCGCACGATGGGGGCCGGGGCGGCCGGGATTGAATGGCACTGTCGCGGGCTGACCATCCGAGTCTCGAAGCCAGGGCAGTCATCTCCCTCCCGGCTGATTCCATTACCTCACCGCTTCATTAGTTCATTCGTTAATTTCAGCAAATATGTACTGAATGCCTGGGTGCCAGGCACCCGTGCTAAGCAAGGGAAATACAGTTGGTTCATTCATTTAACCAATATTTGTTGAACTCCTCTATACTAACAGACCTTGGGGATACAATTCATTTATTCATTCATTCAATAAAATTTTTTGAGTGTCCAGTATGTGCTACATGCTGTCCCCAACTTCATCTCCCTCCAGCTCACTGCCCAGCCACCCCCAAACGACTCACAATTCCTCCTTGCTCTATCACCTCCATGCTTTATCCCTTGTTCTCTTTGCCTGGAGTGCCCTCCTCTGCCCTAAACAAACTGCTACGCATGCTGCCAGAGCCGGGTTTGAAAGCCTCCTCCTCCATGAAGACTTCACCCCTCTGGAAGTCCCCAAGCCCACACAACGGCTCTCTCCTGCTGCTCCCCTTGAATGACAGTGATTCATTCCTTTGCAGGGTCTGTATCCCCCACCACAGACTGACAGGTCCCACCAGGACCCTACCAGTCACTGGCTCTGTGGCTCTATAACCGCTCCATGCCTCAATTTTCACATCGAGAATCAAGGAAGGACAAACCTTGCAGGGCTGTGGGAAATAAGGGGGTTAAACACAAGGTCAGGCTGTGTGAGGCAGGAGCGTGGAAAAGGCAGCAATGGTTTCCTGATCTACAGCCTTCTGGCTCCAGGAATCAAAACTTGGTTCATACACCTCCTCCAGGAAGCCCTCCTGGCCTGAGAACAGGCTTCCTCTCCCTCTGCTGAGCTCCTGCCAGTCTAACACAACCTACTAACCGCTGTCATCTCGTTGCTCCTGGTGGCTTGATGTCTGCCAGGCCTGTATCCTGGGTCCAGTGCTCCAGAGTGCAGACAGCTAGCCCAATTTCTCTCTCCCTGCCCCCTGCAGTGCCTGGCAAATTATTTAGCACACCCTGGATCCAGCAGACAAGGGTCCCTCTCAGGCTCTCTCTCTCTCAAGGTGGCGGGGAGCTTGGGCTGAGTAGGCTGCTCAGGTTCTGGGCTGTAGTCCCCAGCGGTGCAAGGAAGTGCCTGAGAGCAGGAGCTTCACCCACAGGAGGGGTGGGGAGGCACAGACTGCCTTCCCATGTCAACCTGTGGGCTGCTGGGAGCCCAGGAGCTGAGGATAAAAAGGTCTCTGGCTTTGAGAACCACTGAAGGCTGCTTGTAACCCTGGGGAGTCATAAAGAGACAGACCCAGGGACTGAGACAGAGATGCCTGTCCAGGAGGCCAGCAGGCCAGAGCGGCCAGGGGGTCTGAAAGGGGCTGGTTACCCAGAGACACCGGCTGGCAGACAGACAGACAGACAGATAGACAGGAAAAGCTAGACTCCTAGGGTCGTAGCCTTCCCAGGCTCTCAGGTCCCCTCTCTCTTCCTCTCCATCCTCTGCTTCCTGCAGACCTCATGGTCTCTGTCCCTGATGTGGCCTCTGGGTTTCTTTCAGCCCATTGGCCACCTGTGGGGCAGTGAGCCGGAACCTGGAAGATGAGGTACTTGGGTAAGTCCCAGGCACAGAGCCTGCAGACAGTTAATGTGTGTGGCTGTTTGCGGGGGAGGGTGGTGATGTTCATTTTTAAGCCATATGCTTTGTGACCAAAAACCTGCGTTCAAGACCTGACTCAGCCTCTCACTCACTGGGGGAGATGGAGGGGTCCCCCGAGAGCATCAGTGCGGGGATCAGGGAAGGCAGTTGAGGCAGCCAGTTCACCCGGTGGCCCCTCAGAGCAGGGTACATGGCTTCTGACTCTCTCCAGGTGTATGCTGCATTCTCACTGCCAGAAGCCCTCCAAAGGAGAGCCTGAGGGGCTCTGGCTCTTGATGGCACACCAAAGTGGGATTAGGTGCTCAGAAGGGACCCAGAGGGTTGCCTACAAATCCAAAACCTTTTTTGGTCCTGCCCTGTGAATACTTCCTGCGAAAAAGCCTCTGAGGGCAACCTTAGGGGATGGCAGGCAGGAAGAGCTCCCCAGATGCTCAGGGAAGATCCAGAAGTTCTGAGGGACTTCTGGCTCGTGATCTGGGTACCAAGTCCTGCTGTGCAGGGGGCCTTGGTACATGTGGTCTGAAGGCCACATAAAGTTACCATCTGAGCTAGCTACTGCCCAGCTGAAAAAGTCTCCCTCTCAAAGGCAGGGTAGGCAAGGTAGGGGTCAAGAGCCCAAGAGTGTCACAAAATCTGGCACTCCATTTACCAGGGGTGTGTGTTTGAGCAAGTTATTTTACCTCTCTGATCCTCAGCTTCCTCAGCAGTAGAATGGGGATAATTATAACAATTTAGGGCATTTACAGTGAGTCAGACATGATACCAAGCTGGTCTTAGACTGCTGAGTTTCCCAGATCCTTATATCTCATTTTTCACAGTGAGGCCTGTACAACCTCACCAACCAACCACCTGTCTTGAATTCCATTCATATCATCAAAATTTTAAAAAAAAGACACTACTCCCAACAATCCTCAAGCTAATTAACACATTCTTGGTGCTGATTTTGATAACAATATTTGAAGATGCAGATTCCTGATGAGGATATTTCATGTATTACTTAACCACCCCTGGCAGGGGCACCATGTCCAAATGCAAGGTTGTACACTACACAACTCCAGGAAGTAATTCGACAAAACCACAGTACGAATGGCACCCTCTGGAACTTTCCAAGTGCTCTCCTTGTTCAGCCTGCTTCCTGCAGCCTTGAACCCAACAGTGTGAATTCCTGATTTAGGTCATTCTGACATTAACCTCCACCTCTACGATGTACAGTCATTTTGTGTGCACACATTCACACCATGATTAAGAGTGAGGCACTTTTAAGGTAATCACACAAGCAATAAAGCAAGCACTCCCCCCTCCCCGCCATAGCTGGGGGGCTTCCCTGATAGCTCAGCTGGTAAAGAATCCGCCTGCAGTGAGGGAGACCTGGGTTCAATCCCTGGCTTGGGAAGATCCCCTGGAGAAGGGAAAGGCTACCCCCTCCGGTATTCTGGCCTGAAGAATTCCATGGACTGTATAGTCCGTGGAGTCGCAGAGAGTCGCACACGACTGAGCGCCTTTCACTTTCACTTCACTCACCCCCCATACCTGGCCCAGGCTAACTCAGTAAACCCGATTACTGTTTTGGTTTCTGCCCAAGCGCCAGCAACTAGAGCGAACTTTGGCTTTCAGTGTCCCAGCTCCTGCTTTGCAGACCCTCCTGGGAGACCCCAGCAGGCTAGGAATTCCCACCCTGGCCCCCAGCTCCCACCCACGGAGCCTCCGCTCCCATTGAGAGGGCCCTTCAGAAAGCCAGTCACTTCCCCTAGGGAGATAAAAGGTTGGATCCCAATGTCCCTTCTCTTCTCAGGGTTCAAAGCTGCCGCCAGCCCCCACGTGGCCGGCTTGATTTGTTTCTTATCTTTAATTTTTTTTTTTTTTAATCGAGCAGATCCCCTCCGGTTACTTTTTCCACAGCATCTTACAGCATCTTTGGAGCGGGCAACAAAAGCATTCTTTTTGGAGCCAGCGGGGGGCCGGGGCAGAGCCACTTCAAAGGGAATGCAAAGCGGCAGTGATGTACTCATTGTCCTCCCCTGTGTGTCTGCCCCCCATTGTCCTGAGGCCGCCCTGAATAGGCAGGCACAAAGGCCACCGTTCAAAGTGGGCACCACATGCTCCATCAGAAGGCCAGCCTTTGCCTCTGCTCTGGTCCCTTCATCTCACACACACAGGTTTCCAGCCCGGGGAGGGGAACTGGCCTTGAAGTGGGCTTTTTTCTTCCCTCTCTCTCTCTCACTCTCTCTGTCTCTCCCTCTCTCTTCCTCTCTCTCCTCCTGAGCCAAAACTTACAATTGTATTTTGAGATAGCCTCTGACTGGCAGTCTTCCCCTCTTTCTTCTTCTACAGAACAAGGACGATTCACCCCAGGCTGCAGATCAGCTGTAGGCGTGCTGGGGTTTTCTTGTGAGGTGGGGGCCTCGGTGGGACTGTTTTCCCCTCTGAGAGGGAGGGAGGGGACAAACCCCACTCCTGGCACCGGGGGGTCTGAGGCCTGCTGAGCTCAATGGAAATTTAGAAATAGATGTTCCAACCTCGATTTTCTAGAAGAGGAAACAGGGTCAAAGATGGGAAGAAACTTGTCTCTTTCTGTGGTGACTCAGATGATAAAGAATCTGCCTCCAATGCGGAAGGCCTGGGTTCAGTCTCCAGGTTGGGAAGATCCCCTGGAGAAGGGAATGGCTACCCACTCCAGTATTCTGGAAAGTCCCATGGACAGAGGAGCCTGGCAGGCTATAGTCCATGGGGTCACAAAGAGTCGGACTCGAATTGAGAAATTTTCACTTCACTTTTTACAAAAAGAAGGAAACAGAGGCCCAGAGAGGTTAAACGACTTCTTCAGAGTCACACAGCTGACTAGTGGCAGAGTTGGGGTTTGATTCTGCCAGACTTGGTGGGACATTGAACAGCATTTGTCCTGCGACCCATGGTTCTCTGCACAGGCAGGCTGTGTGGTGTACAATGTCTCAGGGTGGTGACTGGGATCAGGTCCTTTGGGAGATGTGTGTTCTTAAGTCCGACTCGTTGCAAGAGCATGGATTCTAACCTGCCAGGCTCCTCTGTCCATAGGATTTCCCAGGCAAGGATACTGGAGTGGGTTGCCATCTCCTCTGCCAAGGGATCTTCCCGACCCAGGGATCAAACTAGGGGAGTTCCCTCCCAGGGGAGTAGGAGGAGGCAGGGAGGAGCTTATGGATGACAGCAAGAGCAGTGGCCAAGCAGACCTGGCCTCGGGGGTGGGTTTAGTATCTATTCCAGAAAGACCCATGAACCTGGGCAAACTCCAGGAGATAGTGAGGGACAGGGAGGCCTGGCATGCTGC